GACTTGACAAAGTGAGCATTTTGTCTCATTTAGAAATGACCTAGATAGAAAAATTGCCCCCACACAGCGAGCACAAACATATATGTATTCTCAGAATTCACATTTGCTCCTTCCAGTTCTTTCTGGACTCTGATAAAAACTCCTAAATCTCACCGCCAGAAGTGACTTTTTTATGAAGTAACATTCAGACCTCACTGGATTCTAACTACACCAGAGGTGGCCTTTCTGATGTCAGGAAGGAAAAGGAAATATATATGTGAAGAAAAACAAAAACTGCACAGTCTTACCTGAGTTTACTTATATGGAGATGGTTTCAAATGTAGAACCACAGAGAGAGCAAAGCAGTCAGTTTGGTTTTAAAGAGATATGATCATGTGCTTGTGCAAGCGCTTGACAGACACATACAGCAGCCTGCAGTTCGTACATCTTGTTCTCATGCCCATTTTAACAGTGCATCAAGCACTGCCAACTCATTATTTACAATTATGGACATGATCACAAGATGTATGACAAATCTTACAAATGCATCTCATCCCAGATACCTTCCTGACATCTCTTAACACCGTAATAATGCTCATTGAGTCAAAGGAAGATCCTCAATCTGACCCTCCTGTTTGCCATGTAACTATTTTCCTACAGACCCTTTTAGGGAGGAGGATCTGTTTGTTGTTTGTGGGATTATGCTATGCAGATCACAATTTGCCTCTCTTTTCTGCTGATCTATAGAACACAATGAATTCCATAAATAAAGTTTTGTGTTGGGATCAGGAAACTAATACTTAAGTAAACACAAGTTTGCTTCACATCTGTCTGATAACACATTGAATTGTGGATAAAAAAAAAAACATTACAGAACTTATTCTTGGAAAAAGCCATAACGTGCATTCGCAGAAAGGTGGGATTAATATCTCTGGCTCAATCTTTCCCTCTCCCATTTGTTTTCACTATATATCTCTGACTAGATGTATGTACATAAAGATAAGACGTGTTCTTCTGTGTTGCCAAAATCTGTAAACAATCATGTGAGTAAATATCCTATCGTTTCAGGTCTTTCATTCATAACTTCCTGGAGGAAGTAAACTAGGAAAAGAAGGTTGTTTTTCACGAACAAAGCCTAGAAGACAAAATGAATCACTAGGCAGATTGATGAGCCTATGCAGAACTGATTTAGCCGGCTCAACGTTAGGAGCAGCTCTCAATTTTCACATCACAGAGTTAAAACGAGGTATCAATAAACAACTCCAAGTATACATAGTTTGAGTATAAATTCGCCAAAAGTAATCCCAGGAAGTTCCAGCCCTTGAACCTCTACAGAGTCCATGCTGTTAATAATATTTGCTATACAGCCCAGATCGCATGTAACAGACACAAACTGCGTCTATTAACTTGGATCTGGAGCCAACAGTAGAGGCCAGAGTACGTAGGTGGCCTGTTTTGCAGGAAACATTAGAAATCTGTAGTTGAGTCAGGCAGAAGGGACCCTCCCTCCCTCCGTGCCCATCCAGGCTCCTGGGAGGGCACAGTCCCTCAGCCACCTTCCCTGCCCTCAGAAAGGACCATCCTCTTCATCCTAGCTATGGTTTTGGATTCTCAAGAACCACTTGAAATTAAGTCAAACACTCAATGGGAGATGATTTTGCTGACTGTAGGGAACTTTTACAACATTAGCAGCAATTTAAGTTTGTGTTTTTTTCTTTCTCCCTCCCTGGACGCGTGGGCTGTTCCAGAACTTGTATCAGAATATTCAGTTCTCACATCTATTTATTTAGTTAGCAGTGGCATTCCTATTTTTATAGCTTTGAGTTTTTAACTTTTTTGTTAGCAACGTTAACAAGGTTTACAGCATATAAAGTGAGCTGTGGCATTTAAAAAATGTTAGCTTAATGTAACACCAGCTTTTTTTATATACATGTTCAATGGCAAACTCCTACTGACAGGCAGAATGCATTTCTATGTCTGGGCAAGTTTATAGATGGTGTTCCCACCTCTGGGCCACAAGGTCACAAATTTGTTTCTGATTCTATTAAGGAAACACTCAACAATGGTAAGTTTGTGTGCTTTTTTTCCTTCCCCCCCATCCCCCCTTTTTTTTTTCTTTAATGAGAGGGGACTGCTTTATGTGATCCAAGATCTTAAAGATACTCCAAGGAATCTCTGTTTAATGCTGAGCCTTTCACCCCCATGCCCTGACTGAATAACACTGGCTGCAGATTTGAAAAGCTCTGTCTGGCAGTAAGATAAAACAGATTTCAGGGAAATTTGATGTGACTGAAAGAAGAAGAGGCAATGTCTCCCTCATTTGCCCATGCACAGTAAGAATAGTTACAGTGCCTTCTGTGCAATTTCATAGGAGTAAGATCTGACTCTGCCTCAAAAGGACGTACTGAAGTGAAAGACACAAGACTTGTTCTCAGTTCCTACTTCTGCAGCAGTTTGTCTGTGTGACCTCGAGGCCCTCACCAGAAAGCTTTGCTGCCAGGCCCTCCATGACTGTGGGGTGGAAGGAACCTCCTTTTCCTGTTTTCATCTGCAAGATCTCGGAGGTCAGGCACTGGTGTCTATCTCAGCAGAGGCTTTTCACACTCCATATTAATGGGAATATTTGCTGTACTCATGGCAGGGACAAATAAAAAGACAAACAAACAAGAAGACATTAGAGGTGGCTTTTATTGCCCTACAACGTACCAACCTTGTTCTTTCCTGGCATTAATTTAGCTAGATATCTTCTCCTCCACACCACATGATGGCTCAAGCTGGGGATCCCTCACTGTAACGGCTTTCTGGATGACACCCATTTAACAAGAGGGGAGGTAGCATCCATGCTTGTTACAGCCATCACTGTCCTGTGTTGACTTCATGCTGGAGGACAATGCACTCTGGGACTTTATGGCTACAAACATAGGGACTTCTTGCATGAGAAATATCTGGGGCCTATCAATAAGACTCAGGTGATGGGGTAAAATGATGAGCAAGAGAGAAATAGAACTTGGCGGAGAGAAAGGAGAATAAGTATGCATCTCTGTTGAAAGAATTTCAACATCACCTATAACTATCCAGAAGGCAAGCATGAAAATGCAGAATAGCATGAAGTGTAGCCCAATTTCTGGGTTGCTTGGGTTATTGTGAGTAGGAGGATCAAGGCTTGGTTTCAAATGCCTCACTAGTGAAGGGAGATCAGCTGGAATAAAGCACGAAGACAGAATTTCTAGGCTAGGAAAAAAAAGCTGATCATGTTGCAACAGACCACAGGAAGGAGAAATTGGCTGCAGTGTCTGACTGGAGGCCTTTTAGCTACATGAGAGGACTCCAGGACTATTCTTTTTCTAATTTCCTTATGCCCCCAAGGAAGCTCCTGGTGGAAATTTGCTTCCATTTATGGGAGAACTGGAAGAATGAGAGCCAGACTGTGACTGAGCATCTGGCAATGAGAGGGTTCAAAGGAGAGGAAACTGCTCACACAAGATTTGAAAGTGCTATTCTGCACTGATAATTGACCTGTGCAAGGAGTGCTTTTACGGCTACTGTAGGTCATTACAGGCAGATACTTTTGAAAAGTGCTAGCTGAAGAAACTCTCTCAGGTGCACATCTCATATGATAACTTCACTGTCTGAAAACTGTTATCATCATGCAGATTCTTGTCACCAAATGAAGTGTTACATCATCCTTTGTGCCTTATCACCTGCTTCAGACTCTCTTCTCCGTGATATGTATGGGTTTGGCTATTAAAAGGCAGTCTGACAACCACAAACCTACTACTAAACATCTTTGCTCAGAGGAGACATTTGTTCCTAACAGGTATTCCTGTTTTTCAATGCTGTATTTGGTTACCTCATAGATAATGGTTTATGATTGTTGTGCAATACCTTTTTAAATCAGGCTGCAGCTTGTCTTGCTCCTCCTAAGGATGGCAAGTTTTCTTTTGGTTTTAAAAAAAATTGTGATTTCTTCAGGTTAAAAAAGAAGTCCCTACTTCCCTTAAATTCCTTTAAAATAACAACCTACAGGTGAGAAGCACGTACGTATCTTCCTACAACACTCAGGCAGTTCTCCACTAAAGCAAATAATCTGCTGTCTCTATTTACTTGGTTGCTGCTATAAATCACTCCGGCAGTTCACAATGATGTGGGAGAAAAATGTATTTTTAATGTGTTTGCAAATTTATCAGAAAATAATCCCAAAGGTCAGCATGGCTTGTCCACAGGAGGAATGATTAATAAGCAAGGAATAATCAATCGCTTTGCACCACATTCGGGTGTTCTGCTTTGTTTAAAAAATATATATTAAAAAAAAAAAAACACAGAAATTTTGACTGTTCCAGGAACATGGGTGAAATGTATTCAAGGCAATTGGGAGTTTTTAGTTTGTTACTGCTTGATGGCATTATGACACCAAAAAAAGAAAAAAAAGTTGATCAGACTTTTCTATAAAGAAAAGCAGCAGATGTTCGCCTTCCACTTTACCCTTACCTACAAGAGCTATTTGTGAGATAGTTTTCCATTCTTCTGTTCCAATGTTTCAAAACACTTTTCTTCCTACTTTTCCACTGAGGAGTTTCCCCTCCTGAGATACTGCACCAACATGAAATCACTATTAAAACAACACAGGCAAGTGACAAATACAGAAATTCATCTTGCTCGGCAGCAGTCCGTACAAAGCACTATTTTTGTGACAATGCTAAAAGACACAGTCTTGCTCTTGGGAGAAAAGGATGAGTACCAGAACTGCTGTGCGCATCTGGTTTGGGCCTGTCAGCCTCTGCAACACACACTGCAAACACCACACAAGTGGCTCTTTTCTTCTGAAGTACAGTAACAGACCTTGAGTGTGTAACAAACTAGATCCTCAGTGGTAAAAAAGAAAGAATGCTGAAATCAGCCCAGCCTCTGCTCTTTGCATATGTCATGTCTTACATAAGATATCCCTGTACCAAAATCACACTCCAATGTCTTCTTATACCCAACCACCACCATGACAATTTCTCACCCCCTCTAGTAGTTACCTCATGCCCTCAGCGTTCAGAGGCACTCTCCTTTCCTTCTGTCCCTCCTTCCTTCCCCCGGGAACTGGCATCACTCAGCGTTTTGGCTAGGAGACCAATTCTCCAAACTGAAAACATCAAAGCATAACTCTGGTTAGATCTCATCCCAACCCTCTCAGTTTGTTGACTTGGAAAGTGAATAACTAATAAGGCAGCATGCCATTGTTTTCTGTTTATTATAATGGAAATAAATTGTTGGCTCCAAATCAGGCACTGATTGTTCCTTTGATATCACTGCCAGGAAGCAAAATAAAATGGCTTTTTAAAAATCACCTTTCACAGAAAGTGCCACAGGCATTTGAAAGATGAGCCTTTTTCCATGTCAAAGGGCTCCTGCCAGAAGTGCCAGACACACTACCACAGAAATTCAAATCCTTACCTCTCAAAATAAGAAAGTGCCAGTGAGAAGGTGAAAGCAGGGCAGTAGGATGGCTGCAGCTGGCACGCTGCAGTCCTGCAAGTGCTCGTGGCTGCAGAAGAGCTGGCTCTGCAGTGAGGAGCACATCCTGAGGAGTATGAAACACATCCTTTGCTTTTCCTTTTTGTTTTATTTATTTATTTTTTTTTTAACTCAATAAAGCACAGGTGGGCTGGGTGGACTACTCTCTGTGCCTGGCAGCTCTTAAACTAATAATATGAGATTGAAGGAGCCAAAAAAGATGTAGAAAGGGTATTGCCTCAGAACTTGAACCACCCATAAATCTTGCTTGTGTGTTTTTTTTCCTGTTTTTTTCTAAGCTACACAGAGCAGCAATTTCACTGTACCCTAAAGCTTTCTCAGCACTTTAGCTTCTTCCCTACAGATTGTAAGGTGTGAACTTCCAGTTACTTGAGTACTACCGCCTAATGAGGGAATATGTTGTACATTGGCCCCATGCACGGACTGAAGCTTCCTCATCAGAGGCTGTAGTTGGATCCAGATCTTAAGCGACCCAGAGCACAGTGGTGTTTGGATTTCATGACGTGCTGCAGTTTGATTTGGCTCGGAGCAGAGGATGAAGCCGAGTGCCAGATTCAGATCTCAAGCCAAACTTGGATTTTGTATTTCAGCTACCAAACTTCATCATGGGTTGGCAAAGTCACGCTCTCACCTGCTCACACCATGTGGAGAACACCTGTGATGTGCTGGAAGGGCGGCTGATCCTGCTGTGAGAAATTCCCCGTAGGGAAGCCAGCATGTGAGAGGCTGCTCCAAATGACTGGTGGCTGCAGATGGCTTCGTGTGCTGGGAGTGCAGGGCCAGTGAGGCATGCTCAGACTCTTCAACTACTAAGAAAAAAAGTTGAAAAGAAAAACTGTCAGGAGCAGACTGCAGCTTTACTCCTCCCTTTGTTGTCATGACTGTTGAAACTGGAGCAACATTTTTGTTTGTGGGACTGGGACTGGGATGCAAAGCAGCAGCATGACCAGAGAATAAACTAGAAGAACTCCACAAGCACATAACTTCCTACAACAGCATGCTTTTCAGAGTATCCATCCTGATGCCTAAGGATCTGTTGCTCAACATTATTTACTGGTCAATGCTTTTTCCAAAAATCAAAAATATTCCCATAGCTTAACTGGTAAAAGATCTGTGTGTGGCTAACAGTGTGGTCTGCTAAATATTAAGGTCTTATTTGACACCTATCTTATGCTTATATTTGCCTCTAAGTGCAACCTTATTTTGCGAAGTATTTAGGCTTATTATTAACTTCAAGGATATGGATATGTCCACAAAAGTTGGGACCTCATAAACTGCTTATGACATAATGGTCTTTTCTGAGCACCTTTTCTTAGGTGCTTTTCTGAACTGAAAGGTTTGAGGGGCTTTCACCAAAACGCTCTGGGATTAAGTAGAGACTTTCTATCGCCTTCAATTCCTTATTTTTTTATACTTACTGCTATCTTATGATGGAATATTTGGAAAGAAAAAGGAAGGACTTTTTCTCCAGATAATACCATTTATTCTCAATTATTTCTAGCACTAAGGATGCAATTACTGACCTGCAAACACCTGATGATCACTGTTTAGTTTGACCTTTTTATGAGTGTGTAAGTTTGGTAACTAGCCCAATAATTTGTTCCCCAAGTGGGTATAAAAGTCATCTGGAAGAAAAAAAACAGTGTCTGAAAGTTTTCTGTGCAAATGGAAGATTCTGCTAGCTGGATATATGTGTTCATTTTCGGAAATGGTTCTCAGATGTGAGGCTGAATTTGCTTTCCTAAAGAAATCAAATATAAGTCTTTAAATGCAAAGTAGTGCTCGGATTCTTGCTTATTTTATTAAAAAGTCAGTGATCATCGCTACATGTTGATCTTACGTGTTTACAGAAAACAGGTTCAAAAAATCTATACAGACTCCAAAAGATACTGTGACAGAGATATGAGGAAGGCCTGAATGACTCAACATGGTCTTTGCAACCATGCTGTCCCTTCCCTGGCATCCGTTTACCCAGGGTGCAGCTGGCCTCAGAGGCTTTGCACAACTCTTTGTGGGGGGTCGTGATACCCCAAAGGCAAAACAGAAACCTCAGGTGACAAAGGCAGCTTCTTTGTACTCAATATGTGCCCCTTTGTCTGTGAGCAAGGCTGAACCACGAAGGTCACCTGAGGAAGAAGGTGGATGCTATGAAATTCAGTGGGTTGCTCGGTTTCAATCCGAAAGCACTGGTGTCTGGCTGAGCATTACTGGCACATCAAATTGCTCAGTGTACACTTATCTGTCCTATCTGAAGAGACACAAGTAAATGTCAGACCTTAAAATCCCCTTTGCACTGGTACTCTGTTACATGAAATTAACAGGACCTCCTTGGAGAATGTCGAAACATTATATTGCGGCATGCAGAACTGATACTAAACAAAATTTCTGCTTCTGCAGTTGATTTGTTTGCAACTCAACTTACCCAGCAAGTTACTGGAAATACTGCAATGCAAAGAAAGAACTTCAGTGCAACTTCAGTGCTAAGTCTACTCCTGTTCTTTTCTAGAAAAGGCTCTGTGAAACTTTAGGAAACTGATTCCTGAGGAATCACTTCCTGGACACAGCACAGTCAATATTAGCATGACACTCATGCTTAAGTTATCTTGGTTTAACTTTAGAGCAGTATTTCCCTGAGGACCCCTCAGTTCTGGAAGGAGTAACTTGTCTCTGCATTCTGTGAGAGCCTGGATTATTTTTAATCTTCTGGCCATGTTACAGATCAATTTATAGTCTCACAGAGATGGTAAGGACAAGGATTTTGGGGCGGGCAAAAAGAGAGTTGGCTGTTGTTGATTAGTGAGTATTGCTATTTCTGAAAAGAACAAACTTCTCAGGGCAACTTATTCTATCTTCTTGCACTGCTAGCTTCATTTTCAAGAGAATGTGAACTGGCCCAGATCCACAAACTGCAGCAGACTGATGATCCCTTCAACCAGCATGGACTTTTTGATCCATGCATATTGAATTGTGCAAGCCCTCACAGCTTTGTACAGGTGCTGTGTACTAAAATAACAGAGAAGATGATGAGAAGAAAACTTTCTTTTTCTCTTCCTGTGGCAGTTTTATACATACTACAATGAGTTATCCCAATGGCTTTGTTTCCAAATGACCTCAACCTAGAACAGCACCTTGCTTGTTATTTTGAGAGACACAACTAGTTATCATTTCCAGTATTATGCCAAACATATTTCAGGTTCCCACTGAAAGTGACATCAAAGCTAGAGTTTGAACAAATCTCTGATATGTGCTACCCATAATATTCAGCCATATATATTTTAAAATTCTCTATTTGTTCAGACCAAACTTATAAGTTCAAGTATGTGCCAGAAGTCATCACAAGGATGCACAAGGATGTGTGCTGAATCTGCATACATTTCAAAAATCACAAAAGGGAGAAAGTGCATTTTCTTCCAGTTGCACTTAGGTCTTACTCAAGCCTTACTTAGGCAAATGCAACTCCTAACACTTACAAGGAATGCAGTACAATGGTTTCCTTAATTTTGGCAGATGAAAAGGAAGAACCACAGAGTTTTGTATTACTTCCAACCAAAAGAGTCAAATGGCCTAAGTTTACCCAAGGTTTCACAAACACTTTCGCAACAAACCCTGTCAGGACATTTTTACTAAATGCCAGTAATGCCCAGGATTTCAAGCTCCTGAATTTAAAATTTTTCCGGGTTCTTTGTTTGTTTTACACAACCTCCATCATGATTGTTTTCTTGCCCCTGTGAGTACCACTAGGATGTTTCGACTGAAGCACTTTCCAGGAATTAGTGAAGAATTTTAACTCATGGAGCAGAGAACTGACTTCACTTCTGGAAAACATCATTCCTGGAAATGCCTTTTGCTGAAGTACCCCTTCTTAGTGAGACCCAAGGGACTAGTTGCAGGAAGGGCTGGATGAGGCCATGCTCAGCAGGTGGCTCCCAGAAGAGGTCCCCTGGCTGCCATCTCACGCTATGTGAGTCTCCTCCACTTCTCAAAATGGTTTCAGTGACACAAATGGCACCTAAAGTGGGGCACATCACAAGGCTACACAGCTTTCTGTAAGCTTTTGATCAAGTTCTCCAGCTCCACTTTGTCCTGTCTCCATCTCTATGGAGGTGACCGCTGCCTGGGGCTGTCCCAGCTGCTTCTGCCTTGCCCCGTGAACCTAGGCATACTGAGCAGGGGTGATGGGAGGTCCACTTCCAAAGCACAATCCTGCCCTGAACTGACATATTCTGTGATCCTACAAAAAGTCTCATGGAGATGCACTCCGAGTGGGAAGATCTGCTACAAATACAAAACAGATGCTATGGGCCTTAGAAAGAGAAGAAAAGTGACATTTTCAAAACCATGGGCAGAAACAAGAGCAGAAGCAGGATTTCCTAACTTACTTGTGGTTGTCTTATTTATACTGCTGCTTCTTAAATCTTATCTTCAGCACTGACAATTCATAGCCTTTCCCAAATGTCTTTTCTCCTATGGTTAACACTCCGTAATGCTGAAGGTTTGAATATTAAAATAATCTTCCCAGATACAGACAGTTATCTGACATCAGTGAAATTGTGATGTTACTATTCCCCAAACACCTGTAAAACTTTCATTTTTCCTCCCCAGCAAAACCAAGATGACCTTCTCTTCTCCTTCCCCTGGTACTTCTCTTCCTGGGGCCCATGTGGCTTTCTTGGCCTGCCTTAGCCAATAGCATTCAAATCAGAAGACAGACGGATTTTCATTATGAACTTTACAGTTACTAGTACCCCCAACCCACTAAAATACTGCAGATTTCTGTGGTAATTCTACTTCCAGAATTGTCAGAAGTATGCATAAGCCAGGCTTATTACATGTGGACACAATTTAGATGGATAATCATCCAGTAGGGAGTTATTTTTTATGAAGTCAAAATTTTACTGAGATACGGTATAGTCTAGAATGGGAAACTCTTACAAACTTGTGGGTTTTCTCTTGTGTGGGTCAGCATATTCATAGGATGCTGAAAGCAATAGTCCTTAATCCATCAGCCAC